ATGTTCATAACATATACATATGATTTAGAATCAAAACATATATATATATATATATATTGATCGTAACGTGTTTCGTTGATTACCCCGCATTAATACTTCAAGATATAGTCTGTTCTTCCTCTTTTTCTCTTCTCAAACTTTCTAGGATTCTTGGGTTGAAGAATAGGTAAAAAACTCTTTAGATAGATGCTCTAGGGTATTTATAGGCTAAAAAATAGAGAATTTTTTACATAGGCACGGGTAATAGTTTGTCTTTGACTTCCACCTCGTTTTTGACTTCGTTAGAAATCGATTTATGAAATTTTGGTAAAACATACTTTTGTATCTATTGAATCTAGTTTCTACTGTAAACATTTCAGGTTAATTGGACATTAGGATAAAAAGTTATAGCCAAAATATTAAAGTTATGTCAAATTTTTTTCTACCCAAATCCTCTCCAAAATAAATTTAACTCTAGAATATTTCTAAACTTTTAATACAACTTATATAACCTCTTCCAATGTTTTTCAATCTTTCGGATTCAACAGAAACGTAAAAATATTTATAAAATTACAATTTTTGTTCTTATTTTAAATAAAAATAAAAATCAATTGGTTAAACAACTTTTTTCTGAGATACTATTTTCGAAAATAAAAAACAGTTTTTAAGATTCAAATCAAACAGTGAGATACTGGCTTTAATTTTGTATCTACATCCAATGGTTTGTATTTACAAGAACCGTGTCGGGTTCGACAAAAATTGCCGATTCAAATAAGTTTTTAGTGGTTCTTTCGCTTAAATGATTCAAATAATAATTTAACTCGAACTAGGCTATGAGTTTCCGGATTAACCAGTCAAATCGGGTGAGTTTAATTTCACTGGGAAATATTTGGGGTTATTTCATGGGCCCACTAAATTATTTTTCAAACCAAATTAATTTTTGAAGAATAATCGCATGGGATAAATTGATATTTTTTTTTAGTGTTTTTTTCCTGATCCCACAAAGCTGAAACATTCCTAGATAATAGATTGAATGAGGTAAAACCTCACATTAATTTTAATTTATTAATTTTTTGTTTTCCGATTGATAGATTGGATTGGAGTGGAGTAGATATTCCCATCCAATTTGACCCAAGTCAACCATCCAATCAGGTCCAAATGTAAATTTACACTCATATCGGTTAGAATTTATCATAATTTCCAATAATACATTCATGTTTCTAAATATATTAGCATTTTGGCTTAGATTAATTTTTCATGGGTATCCATATTTAATAAAGCTTTAACAAAACCAAGGGAAGCTACAAGTTTTATGTCACTTTTTTTTCTCCCAACACCTCAAACATAAATTGGATTCCAATAGAATTCCGCAGATAAGCATCTTTGGACAAGAATAGTGCTAAGATGGATAATCCTCTAGAAAGTCCTTGTATTACATCTTTTTTACATCGGACCACATGCCCTTGTATGTGAACCAAATCCTGTCCTTGTTGCAAATAGCAAGATTAAGCCTTATATGCGTACGATTAGTAATTTTTTTTTATCATGTGTATGGGTGGTCACTTTTTTATTTATAACTATTTATATTTGAACTCTTATCGTATTTGAATTTTATATATAATCAAAAGAATGTATATTGTATAACTAGGTTTGTATATACCTATTGGAAATCCAATTATGCCTAAAACTCGTTAAAATTAAATTTATGTTTAATAACTTCTTGTCAATTAATACATAAACTTCGTTTTTGTCCATGGTAATTCATTAAAAAAAAATGCTTAACTAAGGTTGGTTCTACTAGACTTGCAGCCTTTGATGAGATATTGCCTAAAGTTTTACAAGAATCTTATAGACATAAAAGAGGAGGGACAAGGGTGTCAATTAGAAAGAGTTGGTGAAATTTCTGAATTGCTAGAAACTTTTATTTTTGATTTTCTTCCTGGTCCAATTTGATTTTTGATAATTCGAGTTGAGGTGAAGATAATTTTTGTAATAGCTGTTTTAAATGACCTCGATTTGTCAACGGAGTTAAGTCTATTGCTAGAGACAATGATAATTCTAACCTTCCTAAGTTTGAAACAAATCAATGTGATATTAATATTAAGTTGACTTTGTCAGATATTTGCCAATAATTTCTTAAGGCTATGATAAGGTTGCTGAAGGATGAGTATGACAGGTTATTTTATTTCAGTTGTTAAGACTATAGTAGATTTATACAAGGATGTGAAAGAGAGATTAACCAGAAACACAAATGTGCTCACTTGTTTCTAGAAATATTAAATCGATAACATTTTTTTTAACTCGAGGATGGGTTTTTTTTTTTTTTTTTTTAATATTTGTCCAAAAGAAGGGTTTGATGTAGGACAATTTTATAAATTTATTAATTTTTACTATTTTTGCTAAAATCAAAATTCAATTAAACCTATTTTATTCTAAAATGATTAACCTCCTAAATCCTAAATCATTTCAATTTTTATAAATTTTAAATAAAACATGTCTTTGTTATTTTTAGTGACTTTCGAATAATCAGGAATTTAGTTCCGTTTCGAGAACGTTCATGATTTTGGGCATTTCTATTTTGATTCTATGTCCTCGGTGTTTTATATTTCATCAATAATATTCTCTCTATTAAGGTAAATTTTATTTTGTCCTTAAAAGATATAAAAATTCTAAATTTATCCTTAAAAAAATAAAAATTGTTACGATATGACCCATTATTTTATTTTCGTTTGGTCGTCCGTTTGTTTTCGTGTAGATTCAGGATTGTTTGATTTGTTTTTTTTTTTTGTATCCTATTATCCGCGTCAAATTTTCGTCAAAAAAAGAACCAATCAAGCGGATGAATTTGTAAATAATACAAAGAGTTGACAGATATCCATTTCCACGAAATTCCAGTCTTTCGCTGCTTCCTTGGCGAGGGAAAGTTCAATCGTTACACGTCTTCCTGCAATATAGTTGAAAGTTCAATCCTTACAACCCATTAAATAAGAGACAATGATTATTTATACGTCATGTGCGCTCATACAATATTTAATATAAATACATCGTCTATAAATTGAGTAAATGTTAGTGCTGACATAATTTAGATACGAGCAAACTAAACCCGACTATACAATAGATGTGACTCAAAACAATTTAAAGTTTAAAACGACAATATTAAATGGGCTTTTTTTTTTTAATTTTAATATTAATTTTTTCAATAAATTAATTTATTATGTGAGAGAGAAACAGAAGAAGGACAAGCTAGTGTTGTCGAGAAAAATGTTTTAACTTTTATTTTTTTTATTAAAGAGAGAATTTCATTTCAAATTTTTTTTATATATTTTTTTATATTTTTATAGAGAGAGAGAGAGAGTGGGCAAGGGTAAATATGAGTTAACTTTTAAGTCCTTTTTATTTTTTCAACTTATAATTTTTAGGTTTCTAATGTAATGGGTTGGATCATGGACTTAAATTATTACAATAAAAATTTTGATTGTATTTAATTTTTTGGGGCCTTTTTTTTAGGGTTTAAAATTTAATGGATTTAAATTTTTTCTAGATTAATAACACACATAAAATTATAAGGCCATCTAAAAATTTAGGTCTTAAATTCCAAGTTTTTTTTTTAATACTGTTGAGCCACCCCTACTATACAAATTGACATCAAAGATTAAAATATCGTTTCAAGGCGATCGAAATGTCTCTATTTCTAAAAAGATCAAAATGAATTAGCGATTAATCAATTGTTTCGAGATATTTCAAGATGTTTAAGCATATTTCTAGTAATGTTTTAGAATATTTTGAGATGTTTCAAGATATTTAGATACATTTACATCAATGTTTTGAAATATTTTAAAAATAAATTTCTAAATTTTTTATCTATTTTCATTTTTTAAACGACCGAAGCCAAAACGATATTTGAATCAATGACATCACAAATTCACTTCCCGGCCTAGGAGAAACCCAATCCTTAGATTACAAACCCCCACACCCAAAACAAATATTTGTGTTTAAACCGAGAAAATATTCGGTCTAACAAAAATATCACGTCATAATTGATATGTGTTATTACTGATCAATAATAAATAATATATCAAACTATAAAATATCATCAAACTGTATGATTATCAATAACTTTCACGTTCAACTACTATTACATTGGATTGTCCAAAATCACCGGCCCTACATATTTATTCGTTACTGGTTGGTGATATTACATAATAGCACACTATATATCTGTTACGGCGATTACTCGTGTAAATCACCCATTAATATTATAGAGTTGTCTATCGTATCGGAAAAAAAAAATTAGTACCATGTCGTTATTTATAATCTTTGTGAATATTTTTATCACTTTTATACTAACTACATTTATCAATTTCGTGGTAACTTATGAATCGAACCTAACTATAAAAACACCCATAAAAATTATACATTTTTTTATTATAAAATAACTCACAAAAACTATAAAAATATTTCTTAAAATTATAAAATTTGAGGTACCAATGTTTTTTTGGTACCGTAGTCATCTCCTAATATCATACGACTTTTCTTTCTTCAGCGTATTTGACTGGTCTTTCTGTGTCCCATTCAGCCTGCCATTCTAGAATCTAGACTAATGAAATCAAGAGTACCCTCCCTCCCGCGGTTTCCAACTTACCATTTCTTAAAAAACTCTCTCATCTTCCCTTTTCATAACCCAATCTATTTCTCCTTCATAACCCATCACAATTTCCTTCTTACCAAGTTATTACCACACAATCAAGTCTACAACAATCACCTCCCCTGTCATATTGATCCAATCGTTCGGTTAGTACATCAGCGAAGCCTTTCCCGAATCAGATATCAGATTCAATCCTTCAAATTTTTGAGAAATCCAAGTTTTTTAACCATACAACTGCAAAATGAACGACCTTTTTTCAAGCTCTCTCTCCCGATACCGCAACGAAGAAGAGCCATCCCCATCTCATGTCATCGAGATGGCAAACACATCCCCTAATGTCGGAGCAAACCTCGACAAGTTCTATGAAGACGTAGAGGCCATTAAGAATGAACTCAGAGAGCTCGAAACTCTGTACAATCACCTGCAAACCGCCCACGAGCAAAGCAAAACTCTGCATAACCCAAAATCCATCAAGGACCTCAGAGCCAAGATGGATAACGACGTCGCTTCATCTTTGAAGAAGGCCAAGTTCATAAAGGTCCGCCTAGAAGCGCTTGATAGCTCCACCGCGGCCAACCGTAAGCTCCCAGGCTGCGGCCCTGGTAGCTCCTCCGATAGAGCCAGGACTTCCGTCGTCAATGGGCTGAGAAAGAAACTGCAAGATTCAATGAATTCTTTCAATGAATTGCGTGGAAAGATTGCAAAGGAGTACAAAGAGACAATACAGAGAAGGTACTGCTTATTTATTTTATTTCCTTTTCTACTCTATTTGTTTTGGACAAATTACATTTTCACTCCCTTAGCCATAGACTTGATTTTACTTTATCCCCTGAACTATTAAATTTCTACCTCAACTAATTAAATTATTTTACAATGTCCCAAATGCAAATGTTCACTACCTTTTTTTTTAACAAAAATTACCAACGTATTAAGGTAAAGTGAACAAAAATCACATAGTTTAAAGGATAAAATAAAATAACTTTCTATTAAATTTACACATAGTTGACGGTGCAACATGAAAAATGTGACTGTTAAAAGGACAATGTAAAGAAAGAGTATTTGTCCAAAAAAGGGTCCAAATATAATTTGTCCAATACTTTTTAATGGGTCATTTTCCATAGTATTTTTGTGGTGATTTTATTGGGCTGTTAGATTTGTTTTTAGCCACTTTAGATCACATATATGGTAGGCGTTTTTGACGTTTGGCCTTTTAGGGGTCCACAATTCTACACATATGCTGCATGAAGATTTGGTCTTCACTTTAGATATTTGGGTTAATTACACTTTGTCCGGCAAACTATGAGATTTGTGACACTTTACTTACTGAACTATTGAATTTTATACATTGCTCAGTGAACTACTTGCATTAATTTACATTATCCGAAACGTAAACGTCAGTTATCTTTGGGACGAAAAATGTCAACATGTCAGGACAAATTGAAACAAAATCACATAGTTTAGAAAGCAAAACAAAACAACTTTCCATCATATTTCTAACAAATGTTAATTATTGGGGTAATGTAAAACTAATAACCATAGCCGAAGATGTAGTATGAGGAACGTGATAGCTGACACAACACTCATAATTCTGATATAAATTATCCAAATTTTCGCCAACAGGTACTTCACTGTGACCGGTGAGAATGCAGATGAAGCCACTGTGGAAAAGTTGATATCAACAGGCGAGAGTGAGACATTCTTGCAGAAAGCAATACAGCAACAAGGGAGAGGAGAGATAATGGACACCATACTGGAGATTCAAGAGAGACATGATGGGGTCAAAGAAATGGAGAAGAACTTGAAAGAGTTGCACCAGGTGTTCCTTGACATGGCAGTTTTGGTGCAGAGCCAGGGTGAGGAACTGGATGATATTGAGAGTCATGTGAAGAGAGCCGACTCCCTCGTCCGTGGCGGTGTCCGGCAGCTGGATGTGGCGAGGAAGCATCAGAAGAATACCAGGAAGTGGACTTGTTATGGGATCATTCTGTTGCTGGTGATCTTGTTGGTTATTCTCTTCAGCATTAGGCCATGGGAGTAACAAAAATATTCAAACATAGGGTTTGCTTCAATACATAAATAGTTATCACATCGTTGTTTTTCCTCTGTATGTACTATCTTTTATGCAAAAAATTTTATATCAAATGATGGGGCACAAGATTGAGAGAACGTCAAGTTTTTGGCAGGTTGGGACAAAAGAAGATATTTTTTGTAGTCAATTGTCATGTTTTTGTCAAAGAGTTTGATTTTAATTGGATGCTTATATTTTAGTGAATATCAAACAGCTTGTTAATTAAAATTAATAATATTTTTAGCCTCTCATTGTATCAATTAAGAATAATGAATGGGAAGATCAAAATTAATAATATTTTTAGCCTCTCATTGTATCAATTAAGAATAATGAATGAGAAGATCAAAAAGTTATAAGAAAGAATTTTTTGGTAGCTTTCCGTCTTGCCATTGTTTATGTATACCTATAAGGACGGAGCTACCCTTCAACATGGACCAGATTATCAACCTAGGGAAAAAGCAATATTGCCTAGAATGTAAAATCCGGAAAAAATTTAAATTTTTGTAAATAAGGGTAAAATGGTAATTTGTCGCTACATTACGGGTTAAAAATCTGAATTTTTCTAGATCTTGGATGACGAAATGGACCTCACCGTTGGATTCGACTCGCGAAATCGAGTTATTCAGTCAAATTTCATCGAATTCTGAGGTCTCGAGTAACCTCAAAAACGAAATTTTTAATAAAATTTCGAAAGTTAAAAAATTAATTAAGGTAAGTTAAAATAAAAATATTTTGAACTTAAACCGGGACGAAATTTAATCGTTTCGGACTAGAAACGAACCCGGAAAAAAGAGGATCGTGTAACGGATTGTGGGCCAAGTATTAAGAAGTATAAATAAGGGAAAAAATTAGATTTTTCCCCATTCTCTTGTCCAGCCGTTAGCCGATAGAAAAAGAGAGGGAAAGAGCTTAGATCTTCTACCTTCTCTCTACGATCTACGACATTTCGTCGCTCAAATCCACTCGGGCCAAGAGTTAAAGTCGGTCTCCTCGCCGAGGACTACGCCTACATACCAAAAACGAGGGTTTTCACCGAAGGTTAAAAAATGAGATTTTGGGAAGGTTTGGATTAGAGTTCGAGTTGATGTCTTGGAGCTTCCCTACGTGTTTTTTACGCTTCAAGAGGTAGGGTTCCTTCCTACTCAGATTTATTTTACAACTTAGGGTGTTTTATGTAATGGGTAGGTGAATAGAGATATATACCACTTGCCTATGGATGTGGAGTTAATGAAATTGATTGATTTGGTGAATTAAGTATGAAAAATTGACCTAATTTAAATTGAATTCCTAACTTGGAATTGATATATGTGGTGATCGCTTGTATAATTCCATGGAATTTGGTGCCTTGGAGTTATGTGAATTTGCCCTAAAGTGATTCATGAGAATTTGTATTATGTGGGTTTGCTATGTGTTAATTTATATTTTGGAAATTAAGTGTGTTATTGACATATATGAAATAACATGCTTATGGATTATAGTTGGATAAAAACATGTTAATATATGCTCTTTGATATATTAACATTGAGATGAAATTTGGCTATTATATGCTTATGACATGGGTGACCATGAAATATGAAAATATATGTTAAAGTTGCTCATATGACATTCATTTCATGTGAACATAACATTGAAATAGCAATGGTGCATATGCACGGAGATATCGCCTTTTATGGGTGTGGGTGCATGGTTGGCATCAAACATCACGTAAATGGATGATGGGTGGGCTCGAAAAAGTTGGATTGAATATCTGGCTGAGTCGCACGGTTGCATTAAAAAAAATTGAGTCGGGATTAGCAAGAAGGACTAGACTATCCCTCGGGTGAGAGACCCGGTATTTCAGATATGTACTTCCGTTGGTATAAGAGCTCATAAAATGTATCGGTGTACGCGGAACCGTTTGTGGAAGTCTATGAATTCCTTGTCGGTTGGGTGACCGTTGGTGTAAGTCCATAAATACCCATCCCAAGAAAGACCCGAAGATTTTAAATAGTCATTGGGTGTGTAACACAAATGACGGGGGCTTGGAAGCCCGATTTTGACACTCACTGCATAGCATAGGGTGAAGGTAAACAACCAAAGCTAGAAAAGCTCAGTTTTATACACATTGACATTGCATGTATTGTGGAGCAGGGAAGGACTCCAGTAAATTGCATGAACGGTATCATTTCATTTTATGGCATCGCATGTTAGATTCCAACTTTGATTTGCTTAAATCTTGGTTGGAATGATTGTTGTTGGAAAATGTTAAATCTGAATATTGCATATGCACTTAGGTTGGAGAATAGCTTCTGTAGGAAACATTATACTGGGCGTTGGCTCACCCTATACGGGAACACATTTTAGGTGCCGGGTACATTCCGGTGGATGACACTCATTTGGGGCCTCAAGGGTGAAGAAGAGTCGGCTTGTGGCTTTTGAAATGAAGTTTTGTAAAACTTTTGTTAAAAACTACGTTTTGACATGTAAATGTATAAATCAAATGCGATAGAACTTGTATGGATCATGTATAAAGTATAAAACTATATTTTACATGTTGGGAATGAGTTTGGAAATGTTTTGGATGAATTGAAAATAAAAAATAAGTAAAACAGACAATTCTGGGCAAAACTTTCCGGAAGGTTTGGACAAAGACAAGGAAGAATTATTGAATAGTGGGTGAAACCTTCCGAAAGGTCTTTATATTTTTCTAAAATGAGGGAATCTAGTGTGTAACTTCTTCCGGAAGGTTTAACACACCTTTTGGAAGGTCGACACTTCTTTCTTAAAGAAAGGGTTCAGTATGCTCGATCTTCCGGAAGATTGAGGAAAACTTCTGGAAAGTTTTTCAAAAATCTGAAATTTTAAGAATACTAGGTCATGTTTTTGGGCTTGGGTTTCCTTAGTGCCAATGATACGAATGTACCTTAAATGGGATCTAATGGGGTGTATTGAACTCCGGTTGAATTAAATGATTAAAGGAACACGGATTACACCTGTGAGTTATAATCCCGAACAAAGCGATATTATTGACGTGATGCCAGAGTGGGTAACAATCACGGATATTTCTGCGGTTTGACAGATGGTCAACGGCTAATAAATGACCCCCGATTTTTAGGGCATCACATAGAAGCTCATGGCAAAATTATGATCTCTAAAGTATTCAATTCGTATCACTTTGATTTTTAATTAAATAAGCCGTCAAGTTTTTTATGGAAGTGATCATGTGTCATTTTTTTTAGAAGGTATCACGTGTCGAACATATGATCATTCCGTAAAAAACTTAATAGTCCGTCTATGTATAGACCAAAACGACATTAATTGAATACTTTAGAGACAAAATTAAAAAAATTGAAATAATAGGGATTAAACTAACAAAAAATGTATAGTTTAAGGACCAAAAGTACTATTAACCTTTTTAAAAATTTAACATTCAACACTTAAAATTCAGTATTCAATATTCAATTTTCAGTTTTATCAAACATCACATAAAATTTTCAGCATTAAGTGATAAGTATGTGACTTACTACTCAAAAATTTAATATAGTTTTAAGAAGTGCTTAAAATATTAAGTGGTATGAGTTTTAGGTTATCAAATGAGTTTAATTCTATAAGTGCTTAAAATATTTTTAATCATCAAGTGAAATTACCATAGTCCCAAAAAAAAACAACTTAATAGATGATATTTCTCATTTCCCTCGCATGAAATATTGCAATGAAACATTAATGGATCAAAGTATGATTGGTATATCCAAAGTGTTATCAAAATGAAAGAGCATTCTATAAGTATATGCCCACTAATTTGGATTTAGAGCACTTCACAAGCTTCTCCATTGCTTGAATTTATATTTGGAAAAATTATCAATAAATCATATTTTTTCTCCAAAAGAACCATTAAGTCCTATCACATTTATTTTAAGACAATTAAGTCTTACTTTTGATAATTATTTCCAAGAAGTCCTAAACTCCGCCAATAGTTTATTTTGTTCCAATTTTATCCTTCCCATCAACATGACAATTATATTTTTACCAATAATAGTTGTTATTAGTGTCCCAAAATTTCTTAAAATTTATTAGTTGTTATAAGATAAAGACCTAATCCTTATCTTTCTATGATTGACTAGATTTTCAATCATTATCCCTATATAATTCAAACTGGTAGAACTCCTATAAATAAGAGCTACATTGATGCCTCCTAACTTCTAAATACAATTCATATTTTTGAGTCACTTATTGACTTACGCATTGGATAGTCGACCCCTGGAGCTCCCCTTCAATTTTTGACTTATTTTTTCATGGGATCAAAGCCCAACAAACTAATATTGAGGTTATCCAAAGTTTGGCAACAACAATACTAATTATAATTTTTTTTAAAGAAAAAATTAAATGTTTATTTCAATAAATGACATAATAACATGAATTTTATTTCAAAATTCATGGTTATAAAATTTAAAATATTCTATAGTCTATATTTAATTAGAGTATTTTTGGACTACGTGTAGTTTTTTTAAACTTAAAGGGTCTAAAGATTATACGCTTCAAATTTTAGGGATCTTGATATAATTTACTAATGGATTACACACCAGGAGGTTTGTGTATAATATTTTAAATGTCACGGAGTTTAGGTAATTAAGTAACAAACATTTGGAAATTTGGGTATAATTTTTCCTAAAAATAAAAGAATTCAAGCATCCGAAACTACAACATTGTATTTAAAAGGTAAAATAAAAAATATTTCTATATATTATGACTTTTATACTATGTAGGATTCACTAGCATTTGAACTCTTATCTATTTGGATTTTAATTTAAGATACAAAAATCATATTCTAATAAATAAAATTATAAACAAAAATTATAATTATTATTTGAGAAAAAATAAGAATTATCGGTGGCTTTTCCTTTATATTTAGTTTGCTATCAGTTTTCTTACCTCACAAATTTGCAGTAATGCTTTGAATAAATTGCACTTCATCTTTTCAACTATTACCATTGTTTTACTTTGCACTCTCAGCAACTTCCAAGCGAGGCCTTGGGATAGTTAGTAATGGGGTTTCTGTCATAATCTTGCTCATTAAGCATGATTTCTGGAAATTTTCATTTTCGTTGAGGGGTTTGAAAACAGAGGGAGACGAAGTTAAGAGGTATTTTGCGAATTTAACTCTTGCTCCATTGGAACTAATTGGTGTGGGTTTGAGAACTCGAGTTGATTTCTGGGAATCGGAGAGGGAAGTGAACAATATTTGGGTAGAGGATAGGGATGTTGTTGGGTACTAGAGAAGGGATAGGGTGGAATTAGTGCCTATAGGAATGAGGGAAAAAGAGGAAGAGGTTTGGCGATGGAGCTACCAAACGGGGATTGAAGGATCAATTGCTTATATGTGTGGTTTGGGTTTAGAATTGGGAAAATGGAGAAATCAGAGGGGTATATAGTTGTAATGTGGATCAGTGGCTTATCTATAATAGAATATAGATGAGGTTACCAAGACGGGAATCTGAGCTGACAGTAAGAGTAATTTTCATACTTACCCTTATAAGAAGAGTACGTAATTGGAACGGTGAGGGTTCAGGTGACCGAATATTGAGAGGAGCTCAGGGGAAAATCTCTAGGTAGAGTAGCAAATTCTCACGCGGAGAGAGTTACGGCATTAGTCCCCTCCAAAATTTTCTTTGTTTGAAATGGTTTGTTTCCTTGGATATGAGTCGCTTCAAATTGCATGGTATAATGGCTCATTTGTTACTTGTGGGTTGACTTCCTGTGCACTATGTTAAGGGGTCTGATCTCATGGTTCTTATGTAGTATTTAACCTAACCCAATAGGGCTTTTCAGTACAAAAAAAATGTAGTACTATAATGTCTGCCAAAGTATCTACCAAAATTTCAATACAAATATCCACCAGGCAGGGCAATTGTTGCCTTCATCGGCTGCCACCCTGCTGGGCAGGCTACTGTATCGTCTTTGTCTTTATCTTTATCATTATTATCAACACATATGTTGGCCTGGAAGTTAAGCATGGTGGTATCTACGTTTAGGCCGACCTTGAGGGAGTTGATTGTCATTTGCTTTATGATGTCACACTTGTCGATTAGGTAGCCCGTAGTGGCACTCTCTGAATACAATACATACAAAACAAAAGTCAATAAAACAATCAAATTTTACATAATTTCTATTTTATAAAGTAATCAAATTGTATAATCAAACAAAGCCCAAATTCAGACGCATTTGCCATATGATTAACCTTGTAGAGGGGGAAAGAGAGAATTTCGATAATTGCATAATAGAAGCCCTCGAGTGAGGAAGATATGGAGAATAAGAGCTATGAATCTCTGTGGCCGTGACGGTAATAAGGTTCATTGTCTTACCATTAACAGAGTCCAAGGTTTTCAGCTAGGTCCAAAGGTAACAAACCAAATGGAGGTAATTCATAATTTCCTCAAAAAACACATACCAACTCCAGATTAAGCACCCCATATGCAGCAAATATTTCCGGTCTACATTGCTTAGTAGTCGAAACTGCACAATATAACCTAAGGCTGACGGCCATGCCTCGAAAGCCACCTACATGTTAAAAAAAAAAAACTCTCTTAACATTTGAAAAGAAACTGGTATTGGTGCGTCAATGAATTCCAAGCTAAAAATGCAAAGTCAATTATACCACTGGACTGACTATACCACTGGACTGACTGACATACCAATTATTTCGGTTTTCAGACGTTTGAATTCTGGGTAAGCCGCATTAAAGATAGAAAGCTCTACACAAAAGAGGAACACATTGAGAGAGGAAAATTGAAAACAAACTATTTTTTGAACAAATTGATTGTTTTGCCCTTAAAATGTACTTCTAGACAATGTGCCGTAATTTCAAATCAAAATCTCAATGTTTCTCAAAAAACACTTCTAAAAATCATATTACATATATTTTTTCTATGTATATTTTTTGGCTATTATTTTTGGTATTCATTTCTATACTTGTTTGTTTATTTATTTTTATAACTAATTAGAGTGAAACTAAATCTTTAAAAATTTATTAGTAAAAGAAAATATGTTTATATGTAAGGGTATAATGATAAATTAAGTACATGTATCTTCTTTTCTTCCATTTTTCCTCCTATACCAAACAATAAAAAATAAATTCTTCCAACATTTCATTCATCACATCAAACACAAACGAAGAAAAATGTTTTTCTTTCCTCTATGGATGAAAATTTTATTCCTCTCATTTTTTCATCATTTCAATTTTTCATCGCTCCTCCTGCCAAACAAACCATACCTGGCTGTCGTATAAAACCGGACATTCTAGAAAAGAATAGGAGGGGTAGTCTGACAGTTTTATCTGCAAAAAGCAAGGGAGTCAGAAAAATGCATAAAACAAAAAAATTGTGTAATAACATAAAATCATTGATTCACAACCTCGATTCGTATGTTAGCAATGAGCCCATTAGACTGAAAGTATAGCGCTGATCTACCCATCATCACGCCAACCTATGACAAAAAGTATAAAATAATCAATTCTAAATTAATAATACAACATTTTTCATTCATACCAAACAATAAAAAATATATTATACTTATTTTCTATTCTTCTTAGCAAACAAAAAATTGAAAAAATAATTTTTTTTCCTTCAAGGATGGAAAATTTATTCTTTCTACTTATCATTTTTTCTTTCTATCCTTCCTACCAAATGGCTTGAAGTATTGAAATTTTGGTAGATACTTTGGTAGACAGTATAGTACTGCATTTTTTGTACTGAGTTAGGTTAAATACTACATAAGAACCATGAGATCAGACCCCTCAACATAGTGCACAGGAAGTCAACCCACAAGTAACAAATAAGCCATTAGATCATGCAATTTGAAGCAACTCATATCCAAGGAAACGAACCATTTCAAACAAAGAAAATTTTGAAGGAGACTAATGTCATAACTCTTTTCGTGTGAGAGTTTGCTACTCTGCCTAGAGATTTTCCCCTGAACTCCTCTCAGTATTCGGCCACCTGAACCCTCACCGCCCCAATTACATACTCTAAGTATGAAAATTCCTCTTACTCTCAGCTTTGATTCTCATAAGCGAAAATTTTACATGACATCTCATTTAATATTTTAAGAAGATAATAAATTTTTTTAACTATTATTAGACGTTTTATAGAGAGTTGCAGAATGATTTATTTTCAATATTTTAGTGATTTTGGGATTGAGCGGGATTAAATAAAAAAATGAGTGTAATTATGAAGTCATGATCTTATAGATGGATAAATTGAATGAAATTTTGAAGAGACAACAAGAGAGTTAGAGATAAGGAGAAAAAACCAAAGCAAGACAATGAGAGTTTGAGGGAGAAAAAAAGTTGGAAATAGATGGTGAGAGTAGAGGAAAAAAATAATGAAAAAGAATTTGAGAGAGATTGTTACTTTTAAAGTTAGAAATCGTTACTTTTAGATTTTTTTAGAAGGTTTTGTTTATTTTAGAATTATATATATATATAAGGCAAAATATAGACCTGTAAAAATATTGTTACATTTTTGAACTTTTTATAATGTTTTAGATAGATTTCTGAAATATATTGGGCCTTATATGAATATGATTCATTATCTTTGGAGGATTTTTAGGAAGTTCAGCATTTTAGAATTATCTATTATTTTTATTTCCATGTAATTATCATGTATTAGAATTTTTTTAATTTCTTAATTATTATAATTAGATTGCATCGAAAGGTAAAGTACATACGTCCCCCTAACTATGTGTAATTTAATTTTTAATCAATAAAATTCCTTCGTACCATTGAGGTTCGCCAAAAAAAAAAAAAACTTGGTCTATTCAAAAGGGTCTCAAAACATGAAGCTGACCTAATGACTGAAAATTAAATTAGGGCTCTAGGAGACTATCTTAATGGTTAGACCTGTTATGTCTCCTCCCATTCAAATGATCGAAGTATTTGTGTATTTCGTAACAATTGTAGTCTCTGTTTGCGTCTCATTATCGAGTCTTCATCTATGAAACCGATTAAGTGAGACAAATTAATTAATGGATGACATGTAAGGAATAAAGGTCATAAGTGTTACTCCATATTTTATGTATTTTTTAAATTTGTCAAAAATAATGCGTGGACCATTACAAGGGATATTGTCATAGTAAAGATATTCAATATTATAACGTGGTGTCGCATAATTTTTATTTTTAATAATTTTGGCATTTAATACATAATAAAAATTAGATATGTGTTATTTCATAATCATACTATATGAGTAAAATTGTTCAATGGTAAAATCCATAGGAATTGAAAACATACATAGATCATCATGGCTATAAGTACATATTTTTTAACAAACAGATCCGTACATCTATTTGTCTCTCTCGTCTCTTGCTTAAACCGCACTTTTCGAAATATAATATATTATTTCATTACTATTTTGATGTTCTTCTTATTTGTTTTGTATGTTCTTCATAAAAAGTGTGGTATTAGATTATCGACTATCAGTATATATTCATAATTTTTTGTTATCTTGTTATTGAATTATTTTATTAATTTTTAATTTTTTATGATCCATAACTTGTTTATATATGTAACGCTCACCTACTATTTTGTTGTGTTTTATTTTATCCGATAATAACTTTATCGAATTGTTTTTTATATTAATTAGTTTTTATTGTGGATCCTTTATGAGAATGAAAAATTTAATTAGTTGGTATTTTTGTATTGAAATGAGAACAAAATTGAGTTTGAGATAAATAGAAAATGTGTTTGATTTATTTTAATTTGTTGAAGAGAGAAATACTTATTATATTTTTTTATTAAAGTGTTAACCTTTTTTTGTCATTTAATAAATATGTATGTGTAATGTATATTTGTGAGGTGGACTGCGCTTTTAAACCTAAATTCTAAATTTTATTTTGACTTAATCTTTTAGAAGTTTTTTTGTTAAACTAAATTATAATGAGTTTTTATTTTTGATCTATACTAAATTATTAAATTATTAAATTTGGGCTTTTTTTATGTGTGGGCCTAAAGCTCATGCTTTTGCACTCTATTGTTGAGCCGACCATGCTTTCTCAATATTCTCCAAACTATAACAATTGTGTTCCTTGAAATTTATATGACCCATAAATCAACAGAACTTTAAAGAACAACAAAATTTTTAAAAATTGAGAACTTGATTAGTGAGGCATTGGACCCACTAAAATTAAAAAAATTCAGAGTGCTTTTATAGAGAAAGTGTGGTATTTCTTTCATATTTTTATTTCAACATGCTACAATGTCTCTTTACTGGAATCAACAAGTTAAAGTATTGGTAATTAAGGAATCAAATGCAAAGTTACGAAAAAGGAAAAAAAGGAAGAGTGGAAAAAATATTTTTTCTTTTGTACCGCAATCAAAAACATTTACCAATACTTAGGAAGGTAATCATTTGTCAAATCAAGTCCAAAACAGAAAAACTAAAGGTCACTCCAAATCCTCTCCGCCTTTGAAAAAAGTCGTAACCCATATTTTGTCAAATATTTGCACAAACTTCTCTTAGGAATTTAAACAAACACTTGGTGGGCCATTGTGTGGTGGCGTGGGTTTGATGAAGGGGGTGGGTCTGTGGTGGTCGCCAAGGAAGATGAGGAAACAGGTGGAGTGGGTTTACGATAGAGAGGGGTGTGGGTGTGTTAAGGGTGTGTGTCTTCTGTGTGGGTGTGGGTGTTTTGTGTGTTATGTTTGTGTTGTGTGTGTGTGTGAGGTTGGGATTCACAGAAGGGAAAGCTGGGGGGGGGGGGGTGCTATATGCATGTGTGTAGAGAGCGAAGAAGAAGAGAAGAGGGATACCCAAGAGAGAGAGGAGGGTGCCTCTGGCTCTGGTGTGGTGGCTATAGTGGTGGCTCTGCCTCTGGCTTTGGCAATGCTTAGAGAGAGAGAGAGAGAGAGAGTAAATAAGTAAGTATTTTAAAAAAAAAAGAGATGGATAGTGGTAGATAGAGTCTGATAGAAATTGATGGGTAAGGTGAAGATGATGAGATGGAATTAGGGGGGGGGGGGGGGGAATGTGTGTAAGATAAAAATTCAAATGCTTAGTTGATTT